GAAGAGTTTTATTCCAGATGGAGGCATCACATTGATATAAAGTGATTCATAAAGAAACTGCAATTCAGTTTCAAGAAGAAGTGCCAGAGTAGTGAGATTTATAAGCTAGCAATTATAAAAACAATAATCAAAAATAATCAGCATAAGTTTTACGCAGCGGATGCCCTTCCAGTTGCAACTCGACACTGGGAAACACCCATACACTACGACCAATTTAGCTTATTCAATTCCCTTATAGCGCATGTGTTTGGAGTGCGGGGAAAACCGGGGCACCTGGAGGAATCCCACGCCAACAGGCGGAGAACATGCAAACTCCACACAGCAAGCCAACTGAACCAGCTAGAGGTCAAACCAGCGAGCATCTTGCTGTGAGGGGATCGTATTACTCACTGCGCCACCGTGAAGACCCCCTACTTAAAACTGAATTTGTAAATTCTGTAGTGTTATAACATACTTGAAATTACCTTTACATTTTGTTAATAGCTAATTGAGATGTGAAATCAGAATTCCAAGATGTAAACTCAATATTTTTTTGAAAAAAAATGTCTGAATTGTGAGGTTTTAATTCTGAAATCAGAGGACAAAAATGATCAGAGGTGTGAGATTTTAGCAGAATATTTTTACATTCAGCTTAAATAAGCAGATTGCACAGCCAAAAATGTGAGGTTAATTAAGACATGCAATCGGAATTTCAGGAAAGTCTGGATCTCAAGATGTTGAAATCACATTTTATTAAAATAAAATCAGAATTTTAAGATTTTATTTACATTTGCACAGAATTGGGAGATATAAACACTGAATTCACAGGGGAAAATCTGAATGAAGAGTTTCAGCTGAAAATTGCAGACAATAAAATCTGAATCGAGAGACTTCAAGGAGGTGATTGCCACAATGCTAACTGGTTAGCTGAATATCTGTAGGAGACATACATTGTATTTTGGCGATTGGCAACAAGGTGTCAGTACGACACTATATAACCGTGGATTCACTGCATGGAGGAGGAGAGTGTTGGTAGGCATAGATATATACACTATTGTTGTCTATTGGACGGAATGCGTCAATAGCGCCGCCATCTTGCTACAGGGTAGCGCTCCTTTCAAATGAATGCGGGACCAAGGTACAGTGGAGGACTGTGGCTTTCCAAAGCCAGAGATATACACATATACACATATATCTATGCTCGGGAGTTTTCCTGGATGTTAGTATTTTTTTTTTTTTTTTCTAATTACGAAAATTTTAATTTTACATCACTTTTCTACATTGATGGATCAGTGACCGCACGGGCATTCCTGACAAAAAGCTTGTGTTTGTGTGTACAGAAATGTACTATTCACCCTCCCTGTTAAACTTGATCTAATCATGTCCTGAAACACAGCTCCTCTCCTGCTTTCACTGCTCATACTGACGGAGGGAGCGATTCGTTTGTGAATGAATCTCCGTTATGAACGACTCCTTCACTAGCCGACTATAATACCAGTTTCTGGCAGCGCAGCATCTCGTTGTCATATTTCTTTTGCATTGTTTGCTGATTTTATTCAACAAAACTAGCATAAGCCGAGTGTTTAGTGCGAGTTGGTGCTGCTTTGCCTTATGGTGAATGCAGTAAGTGACTGTATTATCATCAATAACGTTACCTGATTAGCATAAAAGTTCAGAACATACAAAAACAGAAAAAAATTAATATTACCTTTGAAATGTTCTGCCTTTGTGCTTTGTTTTCTTTGTTTGCTCGTTACTACACTCGTACACAGCGCTAAAGTCCCGCATCTTCACGTAATAACACTGTGTTGACTATTGCGGTTGAATGACATTTGTCCTGGGAGCACTGTACCAATATGGCGGCGCTATTGACGCATGCTCAGGGTCCCTATGCGATATCTAGTGTATATATCTATGGTTGGTAGGAAGCACACAGTTTTTTTTTTTTTTTTTTTTTTCGGTTTCGAAGTTTTTTTTTTTTTTTTTAGTTTTTTTTTTATTGTAGTATTTACAAACATAGTACAATAGAATACATCTCACAACAGTTATGAACATAATAAAAATAAATAAAATAAAATGAAATAAATTCTTTCAGTTATACAATGTATAAACATGCCAGGGGTAGAAAAAAGAATAGGTAAGATAATGATAATTATATATAAAAAAAAACTTATTCAATCAAATGAAATTTACATAATGCCTCATATGTTTTTTTTAGCTTTTCTGTTTTTTATGTTACATAATGTAGTACCATATTGTTTAATCTCCTTTATAAAATGAACACAATTTGGTTTAGCTTTGGCCCATTTCTTGACATGGATATGGTATTTTCCAAGTAATATTATTAGTTGTATAAGAAAACATGTTTTGGAGTCAATTCCATCTTGTACAAAAGCAAGTATGACATCATATAACCCAATTTGTATTAGTGTACGAAATGTCCTTGAAATAAAGTTAGAAACATCAATCCAAAATAATCTTGAGTATACAGACTAAACAGATTCTTCAAAAGATTTCTTCAAAAGTTTTCTCTATCAACTCCAAATCGTTCAAATAATTCTTTTACAGGATAAATTCGGTGTAAAATTTTAAATGATACCAGTCTTACTTTATTACTTATAAAGAACTTATTTGTTAGTAACCATACTTTTTTTCCACTCAATGCTTCCAAATTTTGATGACCAGAAGACTGTTGAAGATGGTATTTGATTCTTTTTAAATACATTTCTAATATATCTATTACTACATTAAGCACACAGTTTTTGACCGTAACTGAGCGTAACTCAACTCAAGGTAACAGAGAAGTGTGCGTATAGATTAAGGAAAGTGATAAAGTAATTCTGTTTATTGGAAAATGAAGACGTTTTTATTTGCATGTATTTTGCCTACGGACTCTGACTTTTACGCGTACAAAACTTGCTCACTCTACCAACAATAGCGGCAATTGGAAAGCCGCTACAATATCTTTGAAACACAGTTCCTCCCCTGCCGTCCAAAGCCACACCTCCTGAAACACGAGCACTTTAAGGATTACAGACAACCCTCTCTCACGACTCTGCTTAGTGTTCGGCTGGTGGCGTGCAGGGAGATTAAAACTCAGAATTCAAAGGGGAAAGATCTGAATTAAGATTAATTTAGATTTATGCCCAGATTTCAGAGAAAAACATGTATACATTTTAAGATTTACACTGAGTTGAAAGGGGAAAATCCTAATTGAAATGTTGTAATTCAGAAGTAAAGGTTTATTTACATAGCACCTTTCCCAGACATTGTAAGGTCCAGCCAGTTGGTCCAATGACGGTATCCAATGGTGGATGAAGGTTCACTGCATGTTCGGTCTTTCCAGTGCACAATGTTGATTTATATTAAACTTAACTCATATCTGACTCCAATTTTAGTATGAGGTGGTTTAGAATATTAATATATTTATCCTCGTTTTATCTGACTCCAATTATAAAACATTAAGAAGATTATATCAATATGTAATTTAGATAAATGTTTGAACCGTTTGTCTTCACTAGTAACTATTACATCCGTTCATTCGGGTGCTCATGTCGCTCAGAGAAATCGCCTCGGCCGAAGGCGTCCCTCACGGTCACACTCCGGTCAGTCTTGAATATTAAACAGAGGTAAATTGACTAATACTTTAGATGGCCGCTACCAGCGCGCTCGTTCTAAAATACTTTAGTTAGTCCCGCTTAGATGTACACCTTTGAGTTAAGACAATCATCATTTCTAATTAGAGGTTAGGGCATTAATATAAATGTACCCGACTACTGGACTCTATAGTAACTTTGGTTTTCACCAAGCCCATGGTTTCCCATATGAACTTAATTTAGAATAATATTACCTTCAAACAAAGGTCGGGTACCCAATCTAGGTTAGTCGTGCAACACCTTGTTGACCTAGACGGAAGTTATCGCCCTTTCCACCTAAGTACACATGAATCAATATCAAGAGTCAGCCGGATCGCTAAAACACAATTAGTGTGCCCAATGCTCCATCTCAATTGGATTTTAGTCCGTCTACTGACCTGACGCAAGACGTGCGGAAACAAGGATACAGCGTAATCTACTTGAATTAATAATTACAGAGTGAGCAAAATATGGTCAAACATTACAATTTATTAGTCAGGTAAATGTATTATGCCAATTCAATCAGTCAATTCATAAATGATCAATACAAAACATCAAATTATCAAAGATAAATCCAAGATGAAAAAGATGCATTCCTGACTTTGTAATATACATAACATGGTGCAAGCCATGTTATGGGCTGATCTGGTTAGGCAGAATCGCCCTGAGTTTTTCTCAACCCTTACCTTAAATAATTCAAGAATTCCCTCAAGGAAGGGGGTGTGTGTGTATAACAAAAGGAAAAAGTCACACCCTTCACAGTGGTTCAAAAGATGCCTGAAGTTATATATTTATTGTGTTGATTATGTCTGTTTCTGAGAGAATGAGACCATTGTACCAATCGCACTGAGACATTTTAAATGTTATCAAACATGATAGTTAAAGTCAGTTTGGTTAATCTAGAACGTTCAAACATTGAAATGACCATATGCGTGAGTTGGGGGGATGAAGCTGAGTTTCAGCATACTCAGATGCAAATGCAGCAGGAACTGGTTTTTCCCGCATACCCCCCTGGTGGGTTGTGGAGTCCATTGGCCCTGTTTTCAGCTCATGTTTTGAATTGTCAAAGACATCAAAAATATTGGTAATATTTCAATTCTTACAACATTGAGTCACAAAGTGCTTTACAATAAGAGAAAACAAGTAAAAGAAAACATATAAATAAAAGAAAACAGGTTAAAAGCTCATCATAAATCATCAGCATTGACTCTGACGGCTACAAGAGAAAGGTTTCCACTTGTTTTTAATCAGCAGGTGATTGTGTGTGTGTGTGCCGAGGATTCTCTTAAGGCTTTGTTGTATTTGTGTTCTGGGCATCACGTTCGTCTCAGTGGTTTACCGCGGTTAATAAGCACATTTTAAGTGTGGTGTTGTGTTTTTCTGCAGAACACGTGTGCTCCATCATCGCCTCCATGCTGAGGAACCTGAAAGGGCAGCAGAGAAGTCGACTGCTCAGCAAATTCACAGAGAACGACTGCGAGAAGGTAAAAATAAGACGGCTGACGCTTGGCCTTTATTATCATCTACTGCTGCTGCTAAAAACGGCAAACGAGTGACGACAAAACGGCTTTAATGCAGAGCTAATGCTGCCATCAGGAGAATGCACTGCAGACTTCTGCTCTACAGCCTGCTCTCTGACTTTACCACCTATAAATACATATATTTTAGAGGAACAATGTGGCTGATTTAGTTGTAGATGTCACTTAAATGTGTTTGCTAGGAATTATTATTTACATCTGAACAAATAGCAGGGCTCAACAATAAGGACTGCCCGGTGGCCCGGGGCCAGCGTGTGAGATGCTCGAGACAGTAGACAGGATCGTTACTGGCCCGATCGGACCAGTGATGCCTTGTCACTAAAGTTTAATTTGCCTGTGACTTTTTGTCAATTGCGTGCAAATAGTCTTAGAATTGAGAAACAGTGTTTTCAAGCCTTCAAATGCTAACTTCTCGGTTCTTCTTATCTGATTGGATGTTGTGAGCACATCATTTTTTTCCGTATCAACCAGTACAGCGAAGAGACTGCAACATGACGGTAACATCAAATGATTATGCTAAAGGGAAAACATTTGTTTTCTAACGTCTTGGAAGCTGGCATTTACGAGGGTGCACCACGACTGAAAAAATTAAGTGATGTTTTGTACAGTTTGCCGTCAGTTTGGCAGGTCAGCCAGTTTCAAAACACTTAGAATTTTTCTCATTATACATTTATTACATTTTTAAATATTTAAATTCTAGATTTACAAACATTTTGACTTTTTTTTTTTGTGGTAAAGGAATAACTATTAACATTTTTTTTGGTGGGGCCAGTGAAAATATTGGCAGGGCATGTAAAAATCGGAACCACTGGTCCGATTGGGCCAGTAGAAAAAAACCTTAGCGTTGAACCCTGAATAGTAATTTGCTTAAATGAAAAAAAATTTAATATACTCTGATACATTATAATATACCTAATTATTTGTTTACCTTTTGTTACAAGGTATAGATGGCAGTTATTTGTCTTTGCTAGGTATTATAATGCATATCTCAAAAAAGGAAAGATGTCAGTATCAATCAACATGTAGAGTGTATCCTAAAAGTATTCATATCACTTCACATTTTCCACATGTTTTTATGTTACAGCTTTATTCCAAAATGTGTTAAATTCATTTATTTTCTCATCATTTTCCACACAATCCCCCATAGTGACAACGTGAAAAAAGAGTTTTTGAAATTGTTGCAAATTTATATATATATAAAAAAAAGCTGTAAAATCGCATGTACATCAGTATTCACAGCCTTTGCTCAATACTTTGTTGATGCACCTTTGGCAGCGATTACAGCCTCAAGTCTTTGTGAATATGATGCCACAAGCTTGGCACACCTGCCTTTGCAGTATTCCTCTTTGCAGTACCTCTCAAGCTCTATCAGGTTGGATGGGAAGGGTTGGAGAACAGCCATTCTCAGATCTCTCCAGAGATGTTCAATAGGATTTAGGTTTGGGCTCTGGCTGGGCCACTCATGGACATTCACTGAGTTGTTTTGAAGCCGCTCTATTGATATTTTGGCAGTGTGCTTTGGGTCATTGTCCTGCTGGAAGATGAACCGTCACCCCAGTCTGAGGTCAAGAGCGCTCTGAAGCAGGTCTTCATTCAGGATGTCTCTGTACATTGCTGCATTCATCTTTCCCTCTATCCTGACTAGTCTTCCAGTTCCTGCTGCTGAAACACATCCCCACAGCATGATGCCAACACCACCATGCTTCACTGTAGGGATGCTATTAGCCTGGTGATGAGCTCTGCCTGGTTTTCTCCAAACGTAACGCCTGGCGTTCAGTCCAAAGAGTTCAGTTTTAGTCTCATCAGAGCAGAGAGTTTTGTTTCTGATGGTCTGAGAGTCCTTCAGAGGCATTTGAGCTAGTTCCAGCCGGGGAATTGCTTCCGTCTGGCCGCTCTACCATACAGATGCCTGATTGGTGGATTGCTGCACAGATGGTTGTCCTTCTGTAAGGTTCTCCTCTCTTCACTGAAGAACGCTGGAGCTCAGACAGAGTGACCATCGGGTTATTGATCACCTCCCTGACTAAGGCCCTTCTCCCCTGATCACTCAGCTTAAATGGCAGGTCAGTTTAGGAAGAGTCCTGGTGGTCAAACATCTTCCACTTATGGATGATGGAGGCCGCTGTGCTCATTGGAACTTTCAGAGCAGCAGAAATGTTTCTGTAACCTTCTCCAGCCTTGTGCCTTGAGACAATCCTGTCTCGGAGGTCTATAGACAATTCCTTTGTCTTCATGCTTGGTTTGGGCTTTGTGCACTGTCAACCCTGGACACTTATATAGACAGGTGTACGCCTTTTCAAATCATGTCCAATCAACTGAATTGACCAAAGGTGAACTCCAGTGAAGCTGCTGAAACATCTCCAGATTGATCAATGGAAACAGAATGCACCTGAGCTCAATTTAGAGCTTCACGGCAAAGGCTGTCAATACTTTCAGCTGTTTTATTTGTAATAAATTTGCAACAATTTCAAAAACTGTTTTCACATTGTCATTATGGGGTATTGTGTGTCGGATGTTGAGGAAATAAATGAATTTAACACATTTTGGACTTACTTTCCGGATGCACTGTATAAGAGCATTAGAAAAAAACTGAATTTTGCAATTATTCACCAAACCCTTTAATGCAACGTGATAAATAAATTACTTAACTGACAATCATTTGATTACAAACCATTCAAACTTTAAAAGGCCTTAAAATAGTCCAATTTCAACATGCAAAATGACTAAAACGACATTTCAGATGTTTTACAGTTTGCTGGAAATGTTCATTGTTAAGTCCCATCACACACATGTATATCATCACATCATCTGTTAAATCACATCACTTTATTGATGAGCATGCTGGAGTCTATTTGTTTTCCATCATAGTTTGTGCATTTTTTCTTATGAGATAACACATTTATCACACTCTATTGTGTGCACAAGTTTTTTTTAATGCACATTTTCTACATTTATGCACATCTTGGAGTTTCCATTAAGCTCTTTGTAATGGGATAGTTCAAAATGTGCATTGTAATAGTTGTGTCCACTCGCGTCTTGTTGTTTCTCCCTCAGCTGTTCTTCCTGGTTTGTGCATCTTTTTCAGTCTCTCCATCAGGGGTCTTCATTCATCAGCTGGATGGACACACGTGTGTGTGCGTGCGTGTGCGCATGTGTGTGCGTGCGTGTGCGTGTGTGTATTAGCCGTCGCTACTCTTAAAATAACCCTCACACTCCTTCCGGCGCCTGTTTCATCACTCTGACAGACAGCACCACTGCATTATTGGCACTTTCACCAGCGCAGAGAGTTCCCCATATGGGTGTCATACCACACTCCTGTTTGTCTGCCTTTAGAAAACACAAGATCTCAGTTGGTCGTTAAAGGCGGCATTAGGGGGTACGATATTGGAAATGATTTGTGATGTGTTTTTTTATACGATATACTGTATATATTGATATTAAGTATAACAGCCCATTTCCACTGAGCAGTGCAGTATGGTGTGGTTCGGTGCACATTTAGGGCCGTTTCCACTGTCAAAAGGTACCAAAAAGCGAACCGTACCGTACCACTTTTTGGGTAGCCTTTCCAAAGAGTACCTAGCACAACAAAAGGGTACTATTGGTTTACAGAGAAATTTCACAAGCCATGAGAATAAAAACCTCCAACCCCAATCAGACAACCTGGGCTAGCTAATCAAGCTCTTAATCATTTACAGGAAAAAACAAAACTTATGAAAATACTCCAAAAAAGTGCCAAAAGTGTCAATGACATACAAATTAGTCATCTATCTGTAAGCTTTGAAACAGGAACTTCAATTTTAATAACAAAAAAATATTAAACCATGTAAAAAAATAAAGTTTCAATTTAGTATTGTTGAAAACTCATCACATTCAACATTTAATCACTCACTCACTTAGATAGAGATGGGTTTAAAGGAAAATTATCATATAAATATAATCTGGTAAAAGCTGGTATCTCTGGGTTTTTACAATGTCCCCTGCACCAGAAAAAACCCCTCTCATTTGGGACTGAGGTTTCTGGGACAAGAGAGATATGACTTGGCCCAGGTTGACAGCAGTGGGTAACGTTGTGCATTGTCTTTCCCCCACTTGAGAGGACAAACCATGAGTGAGATAGAGGTCTCATGTCTGCATCAATCTGAACAGTGTGCTGACAACACCGCTATTCAGTACGTGCGCGACAACACAGCTGATAAGAACTTGCGCGATATATGTATATATATGTATGTATTTATATATATATATATATATATATATATACATACATACATACATACATACATAAAATATATATATATACATACATACATACATACATACATACATATATATATATATATATATATATATATATATATATATATATATATATATATATATATATATATATTAGGGATGTAACGGTATTGTAAATACCGTCATACCGCAATATTAATTTTTTAATATATATATATATATATATATATATATATATATATATACACACACATATATTTATACACTGTACGTGTACAAATACATATATGTAAATGCAAACTTTTATCTTGGATGTGATTAATCATTTGACAGCACTATATACAAGCTTTAAAATACATATACACTTATAAACTTGGTCGTATATATTTCATGTGAATCTCTCTCTCTGCAGGTCGACAGACTCATGGAGCTGCATTTTAAGTACCTGGAAGCGGTTCAGCTCGCAGACAAGAGGATCGAAGGAGAGAAGCACGTAAGATTCACACACACACACACACATATGACTGGCAGAATCTCCTGGGCGAGGGCAGATCTGTGTGTGCAGATAAAGAGCAGACCTACCAGACTCGACATGGCTGTGAATCTGCAGGTCGGACACTCCACACACTGCTGTGTAAAAGCTCAGCGCTGGTCAACTCTTACATTGACATACACACACTTTCATCACTGCCATCGCTGCTCCGCAAACACAAACACACACCTCATTCTAGGGTTTGGTGTTTCTTCATGGTGCGTCTCAGATGACTTACTGCATACTGATCCAAACACTTCAGCAGAGGCGCTCTCCAGAACTTCATGCTTTGTGTCTTAATGATAATAAGATTAAAGCTGTTAGCATTGATGATAGGGACCTCGCACCCGGGCTCACCGCCGCCCGGTGGCCTCAGTATGACAGAGAAGAGCGAACAACATTAATTTAAGCCGATATATATAAATAACCTGAGAAAATCACAGATTTATGCCAAACTTCCTCCTGTCAGCAGGAGGACTTTAGATCGGACATTGTTTGGCTAAGTCATAATAACTTCCTGTTTTGTGGCGAATCGTCCAAGTTTGCGAGGCCGCCACGGACACGCCTTTCGATGAAAACTCTAGATCTTCGCCAAGGCCTTTAGATGACAAAACCCAATTTTGGTGTTGATCAGATAAAATCCCTAGGAGGAGTTTGTTAAAATACAAAGCCTGGATATGGCAAAAACGCCACTTTTTTGCCGCAGAAAGTTAAAAATATCAGACTTCCTGTTGGGTTTGAGATTCCGCTCCAAGAGACTTTTTTGCAGGATTTGGTGTGTTTGAGGTGTGTGGCAATTTTCGTATGTGTGCGTGATTCGTAGCTCGGGCGCCAGTCTGTCAAAAGACCATAGGTGGGGCTGTCGAGTCATTTTGCCACGCCCACTTCCGAAACCCATAACAAACGTATACGTTCGCCACTTCTGAGTCGTGTGCAAAGTTTCGTGAGTTTTCGGGCATGTTTAGCCCCTCGAAACAGCGATTCATTCTGCAGAAGAAGAAGAAGAAACGGAGCAATTCTAATATGGCCTACACACCATTCTGTTGCTCGGTCCCTAATAATAATAATAATATTAATAGTAATGATAATAATAATAGAAACAGTATTATGATAAAATATTAAATGCAATATTGTAGAATTTTCAGTTCTGAATTGATTTAGGGTGTTCTCACACCTGCCTTAATTAGTTGGGTTGGGTTTAGTTCTCTCTTGGTGCGGTTTGTTTGGGCAGGTGTGAATGTAGCAATTGTAGTCGATTGCGCACCTAAAGGGGACCAAAAAAAGCACACGAGACCTGCTTGAAGAGGTGGTCTCGGTACGCTTTTAAACAAACCCTGGAGTGGTTTGTTTGTGGTGAAAATATTATCCGAACCCAAACGCAAAAAGTACTGCGCCTTTTTGGACTAATCCAGCTGCAGTAGGACAATGTGCTGTGAATTATAGGATATGGAGGAAAAATATTTGTTACAACTGAGAGAGAGAGAGAGAACGAGAGAGAACAAGAGAACCTGATGGATCGTTGGTAATATTTCCAGATGATGGCCAAGTCGCAGTTTAGCTAAATTAATTCACACCTCCTCCTAAAGTGACGTGCGATGCATCTTCGCCATCTGCAATGCATTAAAACACTGTTTTCCAGCCGCAGCCGCGCTTCATTCTCTATGTATAGTTTATGTAAAGTGATGTATACAAACCATATAGTATACCATGACCAGAGATACAATCAGCCAGCGCAGTCGTCCCTCCATAGTCAAAAGTGACATTTTGTGTCTGCCGGTTTGTTTTCTTACCGCACATTAATTCTAACCAATCGAAATGCTGTTTAGGAAATACGTTCAACAACATCTGGCCAATGAGATATGTGGATTTTGTCACATGACTGCATTTTGGTTCTTTTCAACTGGTTCGATCCAAAGCAATCAGTGTGGTGTGAAAACGACCCAAAGACGGCAGAAAAATACTACTATGTGTCATTTATTGCTCTTGGTCCGGACCAAATGAACTAAACCACAGATGTGAAAGCACCCTAAATAGGCATAAACATTAGGATGGAGTTATTGCTGCTTATAACTTTTGTAAGACTAATCAGTTTCTTAAATCTGTTTTATTATTGACCATGTTAATGCAAAGCGTTCGCATAATCTTGTCATGACAAGTTCTTTTTAATTAAATGTATTTTAATAGATATTTTCTTATTTTTCTTATTGTTATTTTTTTTACAATAATAGTAATATTTGTCTGTGTGTGCATATGATATATGATATTACATATGTTTTAAATAATTACTCTATTAGTCGTTTCAATTTGATTTATTAATATTATTATTGACCATGTTAATGCTAAGTATTTCCATAATTCCAAATATGATAATATTCCTAAAAAATATTTAATACAGTTGTTGTAATTCATATCTGTTAAAACTTTTATTATTATTATTATTATTATTATTATTATTATTATTATTATTATTATTATTATTATTATTATTATTAATCATCATAATAATAGTAGTCATAATATTAGTAGTAGTATTAGTTCAATTTATTTCATCCTTATTTCTGTAATGCTATTACAATGTAG